CAGGCGTGCGCGTCATCCGTTTGCTTTAAGACCTTTTTTCTCTGAAATCATCTTGTTCTAAATAAGACTGCTTTTAGGAGTGCTGTTCGGTCATTGGCTTTGGCTCTGGGTATCTCAGCTCCTGGAGCACATGGGTCAGCAGGTCCTAGGCATGGCTCAGGCTGTTAGGATAATCCCTGCTCCATTTGGTGAGGGTTGGAGATGATCTGGTCAGGTCCCTTCCGAGCCTACCAGCTGTGAAACTAGGAGTGCTGACCGGTCTGGGTCTGAACCTGGTCACCATGATGGTTACTGGCAGCTGTTTTGTTGCTGTTTATTATTTGAATGGCACAATAGCCCCAGTTGAGGGGCATGATGCTGTTATGCTGGGCACTGCAGTGATACAAAAGGCGGAGGGTCCCTGCCCCAAAGAGTTTCTAGTTGAAGGGTGCAGACACACAGCCCCTTCGCTCCAGCAAAGTCTATGTAAATTAACAGAGCATCGAATAATAGAAAGCGAGGGTTGGAAGGGACCTCAGGAGGTCGGTTAATTCAATCCTCTGCACTAAGCAGGACCAACCCCAATTAGATCACTGCAGCCAAAGCTTTGTCTAGCTGGGTCTTAAAAACCTCCAAAGATGGAGATTTCCGGTAGCCTGTTCCAGTGCTTTACTACCCTCCTGATATCTAACCAAACTTCCCCTTCTGCAACTTGAGCCCACTGCTCCTTGTTCTGCCACCGCTGAGGGCAGCCCAGCTCCATCCTCTCTGGGACCACTCTTCAGGGAGTTGAAGGCTGCTATTAATCCCACCTTGGTCTTCTCTTCTCCAGACTAAATAAGCCCGGTTCCCTCAGCCTCTCCTCACAAGTCACATTCCCCAACCCCCAAACCACTTTTGTTGCCCTCCATTGGAGTCTCTCCGATTTTGCCTACATCCTTTCTGTAGCAGGGGGAGCGAAACTGGACATAGGAATCCAGATAAACACATGAATAACTGCAGAGGGACATGCCTGCAGTAGGTGCTATTACTGAACCCTCTCGCTAGCTGACATAAGAGCTAGTAATGCCTGGTTTACGCTAAGCAAATGATCATTACCTTGGGACGATATTGGGTACAGCTGCAGACACACGACCCAGTGTGACTTACTGGTGTAACTAGACACAGGCATGTAGTTGCTCCTCACTTTACCCCAAAGTGGAGTGATGGTACCTGACCCCGCACTAGTGCATGCCCACTGCAGGCATTCACCAGTGTCAAGGCAGATTGCACCAGTGTAAATGTGTTGTGCATTTGCTCCCTTACACTGTGCGTGTATGAAGCTTTTTACAAAATCCTCTGCACTGTCTGGGTCAGATTCTGATTTTTTGTTGTCTATGTAAGTGCAGCCTTGTTTGTTCAGCGGTGTCACAGATAGCGCTGTTTGGCTCTTGATTCTCCCACTGAGACTTGCATGAGCCTACTAAGTGTCTGTATGGAGAGCCCTTGTTCCTGCCTTGTGGGGCAGTGGGGGGAGGAAGGCAGCAAGCGGCTCATAGACCGTGCTTTCTAGAGCACTCGTCTCCCATTAACACATGTACCTCAGTTGGGTTCAGAAGGTCCTAGTGAGTTGGGTGCTGAGCCTGTCTGAAAATCCGACCTCTGGGTATCCTGGCAGGAGCCCAGTCTTGTGGAGGGGCTATGGGAGAACGGTGCAGACAGAGCTTGGGACTGCAAAGGCAGAAGGGGTTGCAGGGCAGGACTGGAAGGGCTGTGGAAATGTTGTCTGGGAACTTAGGGCTGTCCAGGAAGAAACATTGCAGATCGAGGCAGTGCTGGAAGGTGAATAGGAGCCCAGGAAAAATTGTGGAGATGGATGTGGGGGTGACTAGTTTTGTAATAAAATGTTAGAATGGTCAAAATGGGAGAGACTGGATAAAAGCGCTATGGGTGGGGGGGTGCCAGAGGGCTGTGGATGAGGGACGTGTACGTGTCTGTGCGTGTGTGTATCCGTGTCTGTGCGTGCACATGCATGTGACCGGGTGGCTTGACCACTTGACTCAGTGTACAAAGGAAGTCAGCATTTTATTCTCCTGTACTGTGTTGTACCCCCACTCCCCTCCCAAGCCCTCCAGTCCTCCCTGCTCTCTGCGGAGGCTGGGGGCCCTGGGCGATACCTTGAAGGGAGCTGTTTGCACGTGGGAATTGGACTGCTAGATAAATACCCGGAAGGGGAGACCAGAAGGTTGCACCCTAGGATTTGAGTTCATCTGTGACTAACATACTCCCCTGGAGGGAGTTTCCTTATAGACAGATGTCTCTCTCTCACTTGCTTGCACTCTCTCTCTCTCAGAGCTCAGGTTTGTACCATGCACCAATCCTCTGCTTTTCCCTTCATTTTCTTGTTCTTTCTTGGAGCTTTTAAGTAAATAGCAACATCCAGGGAGGATCAACGTTTCTATGAGATGTCTGTAACCCACTTTAGCTCAGGGGCCTGGTCTGCCAGGATTACTGTTCCCGGCATGCAGTGCTTCCTCTTGAGCTGAGCAGCTCTGAGCAGGGGGAGAAAACAGAGTAGACAAGGAGAGCTGGCATGGGTGCTGGCACTGGTGGGTGTCCAAGAGACCAGACGGTGGCAGACACCATCCAGATGGACACAAGGAAGGACCCACTGTCCAGCTTAGCAGGTTTGCTAGCACTTTTTGCATATATGGGACCTGTTAGCAGTTGGTGACCTGACCTTGCAAGTCTCCATGCCTTGCACCTCCTGTGAACATCAGTGTTTAATGTCTCAGGAATAATAGTGGGAAGGATGTGTTTTGTGCTGCGAGGGTAGGAGTCAGGAGATGCAGGTAGCAGCCTCTACAGCTCATTCAGCAAGGTCTGTATGTTCCCCTCTCAGTGCTTCAGTTTGCCCATCTGTAAAATGGGGTGATTTACATTCTGCTTTGCTTAGAGGGTGGAGAGATGAGGCAGAATTTGTAAGCATTTGCTAACCTCTCTGAGGTCCTTTCATGTTAAAAATCTTGTTAGGCAGTCGGGATCTTGTCAGTCAAATACTGGCCAGGGCTTGTGGATATGGTGATGGCAAGTGCCACAGACTGGGAGTGAAAAAACTTCATTGAAGAAACCCCTTTCTGTGACCACTGAGCCCTCTCTTCCCTTCTCTGCGGGATGCTCCGTTCCTGAATCGCACCCCTGCTAGGGCAAAATCCAATATCACGGCCACATTTAGTGAATATCTAATGGGCCAAACCAGCAACTTTTCTGAACTTTGGGATGCTTGAAGCCCAGGCTGAGATTTCCTGACACAGGGCCGTCTCCACCTGCATGGCCAATGCTGCAGCAACACTGAGCACTGTTGCTCTGGGTTTTCCCAGACAGCCACGTTCTCTTCTGCCCCCACAGCCCTTGGCCCCTTGCTACCTATCACAATCGTGCTGGCTTTCAACTGCATTCAGCTTTCGCAGCCTGCCTCACGAGCACGCAGCTTGGTCTAAAATGCACGAGGCAGTCCCAAATCCTCTCCTTCTAGCCACCCTCCCTCTCCTCTGTGGCTAATAGCCTTGTTACTCCAGGAAGACATTAAGTTGCATCTTTTCCCTTATTCCCTCATGCACGCATGTGTTGGGATCGACTGCCGTCTCTCTCCAGAGCAGTGTAGTGCACCCTTTTTATCAGTATGGGCTGAGCGGCTCACGGAGCACAGGGGGGAATCATTTTTCTCTGTCAGTGGAGTTGCTTGTGTCCCGAGGCAGATCGCTTCATTTTTAACCAGAAATCAGGGCTGGGTGGGAGATGCAATGTTTTCTGCCAGGCAGTTGCGGGGCAGGGGTGGGACACACGCACCAAACCAAACCCTGTAGGTGAAAAAGCAAGAATCTCAGCTGCTTCTTTCCTTCTGTGCCCTGCATTTTATCAATTAAAAGCCAAACAGGAGCTCGTTCCCTGTCCCCTGCCTCCATATCTTATGTCACGAGAGAGCGGCCGATGGATTTTGCACAGACAGACCAAGAGCAGCCCCCTTGGGTGTGGACAGCTCTGGCTTGGACTCAGCATTTGCAGCCCTGGTTCAGGGCGGGAAGGTGTCCTCTTGCACATCGGGAGCAGTTTGGGCTCCTACAGGTAACGAATCCCACATGAGAGCCAAAGCAGGTCCATCGGTTCCCTTGAAGTTTCCTCCTGGCAGCTCAGAGTGGCCCAGAAACTCCTAAGGAGCCCTGGGGAGAAAGGGGCTGGGGGATGTTGGAGCAGAGAAGGACAAGCAGGCTCGGCATGAGGCAAGGAGCCCAGCGTCCTGGTCCTGGCAGGTTGGGAACAGCATCCTTCTGGCTGAGGAGGGTCCCAAATGCTATCTGGAAGGAGCAGATGGCTCTGCCTTTTGTGGGGCCACGTTGCTGTATGGAGTCCAGTAACCACAGCACAATGGTGGGGAATGGGGTTGTCTTGGAAAGCCGGGGCACTAGAGTTCACCTTCCAAGACGAGCTGCAACTGGAAGGGGCTGGGACAGGTCCCCAAGCTGAGGCACGGCTTTGCCTGCCCCAAAAGGGTGCAGGACAGGGGGGTTGTTGTCCAGAGTTTCTCCAGCCTGAGGTTCAAGCGTCGCTGGAGCTTTCCTCACCACTCCCACGAGTCCCCGTCGCAGCTCACAGGGCCGCGCTCCAGCCTTGGCCAGGCTGGTGTCTCGCCGCGGCCTTCAGTGATGCTGCACCCGCGTTTGTCTAGGCTCCGCTCTGCTCAGCCTGGTGAGCTCCCACCACAGTGGTCAAGGCTTCCAGAAAAGGTCTGCACGTACGTCTTTGTGAGTGCACGTGTGTGTGAGCGAGCGCGGCAGTGTGCCAATATGCCTTCTCTCGTGCTTAAGCTGCGGCAAAGCAGCTCAGACGAAGCGAAGATCAAGTGAATCCCAAATCTTTTTTGCAATAACCTACAGTGTTAATTTGCAGTTGAGCTCCCTGGTGAAAGATCTGAATAGTTGATGTCCTCTTTGTGCTTCTGTTTGATTTTTCTTTCTCTCTCTTTTGTTTTTGTTTTATTCAAGGATTGTGGAGAAAGGAACAGAAGTGTTGTGGTCCCCCCCAACCCTGCCCCTTCTCTTCTTAATGTAAAGCTATGCAAAGCCCAGAGCCTTCCTTCAGCTGCTCAGCCCAAATCCTGCACAGGGCTGGGGAAAGGACCCTGTAACCAGCCACCCACCCTAGCACCCTCTACTACTTTGCTGCCTGCTGTGAGATGGGTGCTGGAGCCAACAGGAGCTGCTGATGGGACAGTGACCTGGCAGGAGACCGGAAACCATGCCCCATTCCCTGGGGAAGGCGGCCACTTGACTCTCCTCCTCTGCCTTGCCTCTTTGAGCACTTGCTCCCCACACTTCCTTCCTGGCTGAGACTTCAATGCAGAGCCAGTGGGACACTGCGGCTACGGGGGGCTCGGTGACGTGGCCCACGATGTGCATGGCTCTCTAGGGTGCACTGGGGCAGGGTTTCACGGCGTCTTCGGCGATGACTGGGAAGAGCCGGGGATATTCATGCATGGGGCAGCTCTCCTTCTGCCTGCTCCTGAGTGCCTGCGGCTGGTGGTGCAACCCGGCCAGCTCGGCCAAGCCCAAGGGCCAGGGGCATCCGCACATGAACTCCATCCGCATCGACGGGGACATCACTCTGGGAGGCCTCTTCCCTGTGCATGGCCGGGGCTCGGAGGGCAAAGCCTGTGGTGAACTGAAGAAGGAGAAGGGCATCCACCGTCTGGAGGCCATGCTGTTTGCCCTGGACCGCATCAACAATGACCCTGACCTTCTCCCCAACATCACTCTGGGGGCTCGCATCCTGGACACCTGCTCCCGGGACACTCATGCCTTGGAGCAGTCGCTCACCTTTGTCCAGGCCTTAATCGAGAAGGACAGCACTGAGGTGCGGTGTGTCAATGGCGGGCCCCCCATCATCACCAAGCCGGAGCGCGTGGTGGGCGTCATCGGGGCCTCCGGCAGCTCTGTTTCCATCATGGTGGCCAACATCCTGCGCCTGTTCAAGGTAAGTCCTCTGGCTTGTGGTTCCTCACCTCGCTGCTGGAGGGGGCGGTTGCCCATCACTCTTCCAGCCTCTCCCTACCTCCTTGGTGCTCCTTGCTTTGGCTGTGTAGTGCACCTTGCCAGTCTCCCTCCCAGGCATGGAGATCAAGGGAGGGAGGCAGCATGATGCCCCTGTGGGTGTTTGAAGCACCCTCCTGTCTCCTGGGGTCTTCCTTGCTCCCCGGCACTCTGCAGCAATCCTCACGTCTGCTAGAGGTCTCTTCCCTTTTTTCTGCTCCATGTGACAAAGCTGGGAGGATCGGATGCTTCTCGGGTCGCAGGTAGGGATGGCCATGCAGATCTCGGTGGCTGACAGGCATGAGCCAATGTGTCCGGGGTGCTGGGGCAGGGGTGAAGAGAATCAAGGGTGGTCCTGTTACAAAAGATGTTGATTATGGACCTGAGCTGATCTCCTTGGGGACGGGGTTGGTTATGGAGTGAGGATGCAACCTGGCCTGGTTTGACCTCCCACCAGTTTTGGAACAGGATGGGTGGGCCTGTGGGTGAGGCAGTAGGACACCTGGGTTCTGCCCTTGGCTCTGCCGCTGATTTGCTGTGTGACCAGGGGCAAGTCCCATCCTCTCCTTGATGACACTGAATTTCCTCCATGAGTCAACTGGGGTGGGGGGGAGTTGTACTGGAAGGAGTTTCTCATGGTGAGGGCAGTAGCCTGAGTCTTGGCTTTCCGTTGTTGACTTGCCTGCCATAGGCTTCACATGTGACCTCAGCAGAGAGCTCTTTCCATGCTCACTTCCTACCTGCTGGGAACCCTCCTTGATTGAGTTATTCATTCAGTTTTTTCCAATGAAGGAATATTCAAGTTTTTTGACAAAATTGAAACTTTTTTTTTTTTTTTGCAAAAAAAAAAAAAAAAGGAAAAAAAAAAAAGGGCCCTTTCTGGCTGGAATGATTTTAGACAGATTTCTGCCCCCCCCCCCAAATCCAATCTAATGTGTTGGCCAAGCTCAGCGTCCCCCTGGGTGAATGCTCGGTGTCTCCATGCCTAGGGGCATTGCAGCTTCATTATGGAAGCAGCTGGTTTTGAGGCACTTCAGGTCTCATTAGACTCCTTGGTGTCTGAGAGGATGTGGCGCCAGGTGGTGGAGGCGGGAAGGGATAAGAAGGACCATGATGAGAAATGGATGTGAAAGGGCAGTTTCCCAGCTCTTTTGCCTTGGGCGGCGATCTTGCCAGCTAGGCAGGAGTGCGCCTGGGCAATGCATGGGTGGGAGAGCCAAAGGGAAACTGTGGGCATAGTTGGAAATGGGGTCAGCAGCCTACTCTGGGTCTGGGTTCCTTGTTCTGTCAGAATTCAATGAGGTGGCACCTCCCAGGGTGTCGTAAAGGTGAGGCCCTGGCCCCTGGTGATCATTTAAGGGGCACTTTTTGGAAAAGGAGGGGCCAAGCTACCAGTTGCTATTCTCTCTTCTGTTTCTTAGATCCTGGTCAAGCCTCTAGCTGCAGTTTCAGTTTTAAGACCTTGGCCCAGCCATTGGGCACCGGCCTGGGACCTGGGGTGGCTTCCAAATGGATGTGTCATTTCTCCCTCCTCATCCCCACCGTCTTCCAGCCCAGGTAGAGAAACCCCACAGGCTCTGGCTTTGTCTTCATTTCTTTCCCTTCACATTGGGCAATGGGTCCCAGGACATAAAGAGTGAGGGAAATCAAGTGCTGTGTACAGGGTTGATGCAAGGTCCCTTAGGGTTGGGGGTTTCCTGCAGTGGCCTTTAGACTGTGCTCACATGGAAGAAAAAAATCCCTGTGCTATCCCAAACATCCTCATGACCCTTTAGACCAAACTCCGGAGTATATCCTCCTGCAGCTTTGGCTGAATAGTAGGCATCAGCACCAGTCCAGCTCCCTGCCAAGAGCTTGGACAGAGGCTGCTGGAGCCTGCCGTTGTCTGGCACTGCCTCCAGCTGTGATATCGCTGGCTGCATCCTCCTTGGCTCTCAGGTGCAGTGGTTGCCATCTCTGTAACCTTGCCTGAGAGGACAGGGTGGCTGGGCAGACCCAGGATGCTGAAGCTACCCCAGCTGAGGTCTCCGGCTGCCAGAGGTCCAGCTGTACTCCTCCCCTCTTGCTAGCAGTGCGTTTAACCCCTGGAGTGCCAGGTGCTCAGCAGGGAAGCAAGAAATGGGCTGCAAGTAACACAGCAGCGAAAGCCGGAGTCTCATCCCATTTTAGTCCCTTTCTCTGTCATTTAAACACCAAGCAAATTCTGGATCTCTTGTGATCAGTTGGTTACTATGTCTGTGCACTGCTGCCCTTTAATGGCTACGATCAGGTGGCTTGGATATGTGTCCTAGTCCTGTAATGCTGCTGGCGATTCTTCTTTAGCTCCAGTAGCAGAGGCGTGCCCTTCAAGTGTGGTAGATTGGAGATCTCCAGCAAAGTGGCCGCAGCAAGGGAGCAGGCATGAAGATCCTTGTTGACGAGTTGTGTTGTGCTACACAGCGAAGAAGAGCTTGTGCCAATTTGAAATCCTGCTATCTGGCAGCACGGCTTATCCCGACTTGCCTTCTACTCTCCTTCCCACCCTGCTGCTTGTTTGCAGCCAGATCTCCTAACTAAGCACGTGAGAGCCTGGCTAGTGAATGAATGGGAGATCTCCCAGAGAATTCCCCTTGGCGTCGGGAAAGAACCACAGCACTGAGGTGTGCTGAGATGCTGGCAGGGCCAGCTGTTGGGTGACAGATAAGCCCCCTCCGCCATCCTGAGTTCTTTATAGAAACCCAAACCTCTGTCTCTTTTCATAAAAGCATGTGTGTTAACACCCAGGGTTAAATTCCAACCCAGGTCACCTTTCTTTGGTCTTTCAGCTCTCATCCAGGAGAGACAGGCTTTCTGATGCAAATAGGGTTTGTCATAGCAACAAACCTAGGTGTTGCTTGCATGGCTCCTTGTTCTGCGTGGTTTCTAAGAGTTTTTTGGTGGGCAGTTTAATTTTTTTTGTTTCATCCACTCAGCCCTCTTAGTCATGCATTCATTCCACGAAGGTCATTGGCAGCATTTTAAAAACAATATACCGATCCACCGAGCTTTCTCAATGGCTGCTTGGCAGATGCAGGCACTTTGTAAAGATCATCACCTCTCCTAAGAGGCAGGAAGCCTGTATAATGCTTGTTTCCCTGTGGCAGGATGCATGATCCTAGTGTTTGCCTTGTGCATTATGGGATTTGTTGTTCTAGAAAAGTGCTTTTCGACCTCTTAAAACTTGAGGCCCCTTGGAAAATGCCAGTTCTTTGTCTGCAGAAGTTCTTTGGCTGCAGGAGGATAGCAGGGCAATTCTTCTGTTGCAAAGAACTGAGGGAGAACACAGCGGGGCAGAATGGTTTTGACTCTCTGGATTCCTACTTGAAATCGCTGGGTTTATCTTGTGAATCCTGTTGGCAGATCTAACATTGCATAGTACCCTTGAAAGGATCTAGGCACCTGGTTGGGAATCTCTGTTGTAGACACAGCATCAGTGCATGATAAAGGATGCTCTGAACCCAGAAGAGGGTCTAGATGTCATAAAGACAGGTAGTAAGTAAGTGTTGTACTTGGTAGAGGGTAGAGGAAGGCAACAGCAATAAGAACATGTAGTTGCTGCGAGTGGCTGCATAGACTAAAGGTACCTCTACACTGCAGTGACTGCAGCTTGCGGAGAGTTGCACGGACTAGCTTTCAACTCGCCGACTTGGGTGTGACTGGCAGTGTAGCTGCAGCGACAGGGAACTTGGCACGGGTTTCAAAACACACCCCAAAAGCTGTGAGAGCCCCATGCCGACAGAACTAAGATTGGAAGTTCAGCCTAAATTCTGGCCCTTCTTAACCCCCAGGTATTTGGTCTTGCAGAGTTCTTTTACCAGGTTTGTTGTACATGATTTTCTTTGTAGAACTGTAGACCCATCATTTGAGGCACTGCGTGTGTGTATGGACACATAATGTGACACTGGTGGTACCCCAGGGAGCTCACAGCCTAAACAGCCCAGGCAGAAGAAGGGTGAGTGGCAGAAAGGATTATCATCGCCACTTCCCAGAAGGGGAGCAGTGTCAGGGAGAGATGGAGAGATGTGGCTGGGGACACGGGCAGTCTGTGGCTGGGGTTGGGGAAGGCTCCTGAGTTCAAATGCAGTATGCCAGTCTCCCGGCCGTCCTTTTCCTCTCTCTTCCTGCAGTGACTCCAAGCGGTGACAAATGGTTTTACGCAGGCCCCTGATTCTCCTATTTGGGAAACGTAGCCTCATAATCCTTCCTCATCTGTCACGTTTGTGATAAGGGGTGATATGCTGAGGAATCTCCCTCCACGTGGTTGTCATTCATAGACTAATGCTCTCAACTTATCTGCTTTCAAACAGCTAATACAGAGCGCACGGCAGTATTTAAATATATATCATCATGACACCAGTTATTGTGGATGATTGGATAATGGGGATATGGATTATATACCCAAAGCATGAGATCACATCTCCACTTTAATTCCTGCACAGTGGAATGACTGCCATTGCTTGACATATTTATCGTTAAGAGAAGAGCGGCAGCTATCCGCTAGACAGAGCTGCGGTAGGGAGCCCATTGGCAGGGCTGACTCCATGCTGTGTGGGTTCGTTCTGTACTCTGGTTCCTGGAACTTGCAGCATCTGATCACATCATGGGGAAGATCTGCAAGGCTTGAATTGCCCAAGGGGCACACGAAGTAATGCAGCCGGCTAATGCTTCTTGGAACAGCTGCAGCTTTGCTGGGGCTTACACGCATCGTGTTGGGAAGGCATTCGTAGACACGGCGTTTTCTCTGGATGCTGGACCGGTGAGGTTAGGGGTGATATTTTGGCTCCGCTTGGCCTTGGTTTGTTCCTCTGATGACAGGCCAGGTATGGATGAGCCAATCCATTTCTCTGGATCAATACTCCCACTTGGAAATGATAGTTCCCTTGCATCTTTTAAGTGTGTCCTGCCCTCTTCCGCCACCTTTTTAGA